AACTTATACCCTTTTTCCTAAAACAAATTACACAAAACATTTGAAAAAGTTATTATACGGTTGTTACCAAATTCTAAGTATAATTCTGTTTCTATCTCTGAATAAATTCATCTCCTTCCATCTTTAAAGTTGCTAACAAAAGCTCATTCCAAGTATCAACAGGGCCTGGCATACACCAATGCACACAATCAGGCAATTTCTTTTCATGTGGCCAATGTCCATAATGATTTGGATGTCCATCTGGTCTCATTACCATTGCTTCAGTTGTATCAAGCAATTTGAACTTGACACTACCCCTTTTTCTACCTTCCTTTTCTGCTGCCTTAAATTCCTCCAATTGAGTCATATACATTTTCAATTCGTATCCATCCAACTTCATTTCTTGATTATTGAATGGCCTTGTTCTGTTGCAATTCCCTCCGTTATTCCAATCCCCATTCTCAAAATGTGCAGGGGAGAATGGCCTTAGCATTACCAATCGGCCCTTTAATTTCTTCATGCTTAAAAGAGTCTTGAAAGCTGTACGAAACGCCATTCTGTATCCATAGTAATGAGTATGTTTTGTCACATTCTTTTGATTGCATTTGTGGCATCCAATGAGCTGATCGTTTTTGTAGTACAAAAATGGCCTAAAGAACCATTGGCCTCCAGAGATTATGACAATATCAGCTTTGTCAACCTGACTTGCCCAGACATCATCAGCCTTGTCGAGATACAGATTCATGAGACTGTAATAGGGATCACCAGTAGGATCAGAGTCAATAGATTTGATCAACTGTGGAGACCAGAGGGCCATGATTGTGAAGTTGTAATCTTTATACAACCATCGCCTGTATCTTGTGTCCGTAGTCTCCGATACGTCTACAGGAATGGACGCCTGAAATATAAACATAATATTTTGATTAGCTGATGATTTTTCCAATTCTGTTACAACTATGATTTTGCCAATTCTGTTATCTGAATTATCCAGCATGAACGTGAGATTCATCGTGGACAGATCGAGCTCCCCTTTTTATCAATTACTAATAACTATATATCATAGAATGATGAAATTTAGGCATAGCAGAAAACAGAGAAAAATGGAAGCTCAAAAATTCAATGCTTACATTGGCTAGAAGGCACACAAGTGACTGCATTTGATTTCTTGCTAATGAGTCTCCAACAAAAGCCAAAGTCTTTCCACGAACAATTTGCAGAAATTGATTAGCATCAAAAAGTGGAAGCTCACAATCATTTGGCTTCCATCTCCAATGTATGAAATCACTATCCGGTCTTCCATATTTCATACAATTCTGTCGATCATCGATCACACAGTTTGTTTCATTTGTATAGTATGGTCCCTTTGGATATTGTACCCATTTTCCCACAAAGATGTTACATGTTTGCTGCCTTATCCCTGTTTTCGCCGAATAGTTAGTACTAGTACCAGTAATTCCTGGAGAAACTTGCTCCGGCTGATCAAGAGGGAGTGATCCATTTTGACTTGATTCAAGATTTTGCAGCAAAGAATCAGTGGTAGAATCAAATGAAGAGTAGCTAATTTTGAGTAAAAGCAGTAACGTCGCGATTGGTAGAACAACTTTTCTGAAGCTATCAAACAACTCTGCTACACCACCCTTCATCTGCAAGTGATGTTACTAAGATCAAATTTTTGTGAGCAAGTTATATATAGTAGTACAATCAATGATAGAAATAAACTACTTTTACTGTTTATATGTTTGGTATTATGGACTAAATGATTATTATCTTGATAAGACTCACTAATATTCTGGTTCAACAATATAATAATTGTAACTAGAAGCATATTATATGTACATGGTGAGTTGTACATGATTTGTCATTAAAGTGAAACATTACCTGTTATACTTCAACAGATAGTGAAAATCACTAGATTCTTGAGAGTTGGAGAGAAAATTAATGTAAAATATATATTTCTGCTATAAAGGTTTATCTGAATGTTTTAACATAACCTACTTATATGTTTAATAGAAGATATACATAGTAAAATTCAATTATCTTTCCTTTTCTTAAACCATCTTTCCCTAGGTTCACACGGAATGTCTTACTATCATTAATACAACTTACTCATACCGACCTTAAAGCATTACTTTATTAGTACTTGTATTCTTGTCTCAAAATAAATGTCATTTGAAGTATTCAAGACAAAAATAGTACTAATTGTTTCTAATTATATTAACGAAACACTTCTTTTTAATAGTGCTCAATTCTGGAAAGAAATTCTATCTAATAAATAGGAGTAGCTTAGTAAATTATAGGTATATTTATTATTTTTCTTAATGAGCATGAAATGAGATAAAACAACACTTATTTTGGGACGGAGCGAGTAATTGAATAATGATTATGTTGTCCAATAATTTCAATAACTTGCAGAGGAAAAAGGTGAAAAATAGGTTGTTGGAGACTTAAACATGGCGTAGCTTGGTGGCAATTAGCTGAATGATGATATATCCTGAGTACTTTGCATTGCTTTTAATTAGCTCCTTCTTATCTATGCACTATTTTTGCCTTTTCATAAAGTACATAGTTTTCACGTGTGATCCGCCATTGATATAAAAAATAGTTCCCTTAGGCTTAGGATTCCAAATTTCAAACTTAAAGTTATTTTGGCAATGTCGAATTTTTCACTAAGTAATTCAAAATATAAAGAAATAAACTTACACAATAATTCAACATTAGTATAATTTTTCGATGGAGAGGGTCGGACGAAACCCCCTCCGCCTCATACATTGACCACCCACTTGAAAAGAACACAAGCAATAAAAATCAAGCAAATTGGATTGAAAAATGTGTAATAGTCTCTAACATGTCCTACTTTTATGTGATAAGATAATACAAGGAGAAAAAAACAAGAAGAACACTAATAATTTCAGAAATTAATTCAGAAGAGTACGTATCATAAGAGTTGAAAATTGGAATATTTATTTCAATCGAAAAGAAATTTTGATTGTGATTCATGAACAACCTTTATTTTTCTCTTGCAGGACAAACATACCCAATAAGAGTGGATTTAGCAGCTGGCATTTTCTTTTATTTATATATAATATTATTCAAAAGAGGACAAATCTTATTGAGTTATTGTTACTAATCGTCAGTTTTAGCTGTCAAACTCTTGTTCTTTCTGCAAATTTTCATCAAAGTATAGTATACTTCATTAATAATTAGATAAAAGATGTTTTTATTTATGTTTAACTTAATTATAGTTATTTACGTATGATTCGAAAAAAATGGTAATATAATCAGAAACTTCTAAATTTGAACTACTGTAACACTGTGATTCAAATTGATTTGGCCTATTGGTGACTTGTCCTCCATTGGAAGGACCTACTTTCTATATTAAGATATGACATTGAATTAACTAACTTGGCCCTATATTGTTGCTTTGTGGGCTACAGGTTGCAAGTACATGGTGGTGGTCGCATAGGTAGGGAATCTTTTCATTAAATTGTTGTCACGTGATCAGCAGGTCACAAATTCGAATTAGAAAAAGAATATCTCGCAAAAATATAAAATAAAATTGTGTATAATAGATTTTTATGGTTCGATCCTTTCTCCAAATTAAACTACGCACATAGCCGGAGATTACTGTACCGTACTACCATCTTATGGTTGTTGCATATACGATCTAACTTGTAATTTATCAAGTTTTAGATTCATTTCTCAAATGATCATATTTTAAGTGAATCTTGAACGACATGTCTCAAACGAATAAATAACACGATCATTAGAAAGGGAAAATATAGAAATTAGTCAAAGAAGTGCCCAAAAATTAATGAGTGCTTGTAGAAACTTTTGCCTTGTAATTTGTTTTGCAACTCTTATAAAATTTCTTTTAGTACCAGGTGTTTAAGCACATAAAAAAAATTCATTTCATTAAGATTTACAAATCAAAATTTAATACACAACCTAATGATATGCCGTATAGAATTTTTATACGATGGAACTCATTTTTTCATGAAAAACATATTATTATTGTTGTTTTAGTATCAAAATATTGTGCACAATTATTGATGTCTGATTGAGTATTAAAGTAGGCCAAAGGAATAACAATTATGTGATGATTAATAACATCGTGTATAAGTATTAAAGTAGGTCCCAGAAATAAAAAACATGTGATGATTAGTGAGTAATGTTATGTTTGTGGGCCTGGCTGCCCCTGCAATGGACGAAATAAGAGGGACCGCAGGCTGCCGGTGAGTCCATCGCCCATTCGTCTTCACCGAAATAGCTTGAAATATATTCTAAATATTCTAGGATAAGGACTTTTCATAACCTGTATAAGCATTGTTTTATTGGTGTATCTGTATTATCTTTCGTTGAGAAATAATAAGAGTTGGTGATTGATTGTGGGTTTTCTTTCCCTCGAGGATTTTCTATGTAAATTGTGTTTTTTTTGTTGTTGTTATTGCTTTCATTAGTCGTTGTCTTGTAACAAATAGTGATGTCGTGTATGAGTATAATGTATGTTTTCTTGAAATCTTTTACCATCAAAAGTTGGCAATAATGGCTGTGTTGATTGAAACAAGTATTATGCAATAGATTAATTGAAATATTTGTAGTGAAACTTTCACTTGAAACTGATGAAAGTCATTTTTCTTATTTGGCGAAAAAAATCAAACCTTTTATTTGGAGCAAACATATTCCACAAATTGAGGTTAACCAAATATTAAAACTTCGGATTCATCAAGAAAAAACATACCAAAACCACTCTAAATCAATTAGTATATTTATTCATATTGTATACTGTTGTCTTCTCTTCTGAACTGCATTCATTTGCTTTTGAAGATGGGATAACGTCTACGTACATTCTAATCTTCCTAGACCCCACTAATGAGACTAAGACTAAGTACTAGATATGTCATATGTTGTTGCTTTACATTAATTGTTTTCCTGTAAGCTATGCATGTGCTTATTGCTTTTAGTAAAACATCAAGAAGGGACATCTTTTCCAACTTTTTTTTAAACAGAGCAATGGTTGCGTCTTCACTGCAACATAACTATATATCCAAGAAACAGAGTTCTTCTTTAGATGACAAAAACATGATTCCTATAAATATAAATGAAGCAAAAATGAAATCAGAGTACATTGTATAATTTTGTTCTCTCATTGAAGATTTTCCTCTAGGGATGTGTTGGCCTCCATCTTGAACATATGAAACAAGAAATCAGACCAAGAATCAATAGGACCAGGCAAGCACCAATGAACACAGTCATTTGCCACATTTTCATTTGGCCAATGCCCATATTTACTTGGGTGACCATCTGGTCTCAACAACATGGCTCGCGTTGTATCCATCAACCTGAATCTCTTCCCCTTCATCTTCCCTTCTTTCTCCGCGACCTCAAACTCTTCCACTTGGATCCTATATTGCTCCATGCTTTGATCCTCCAACGCGGTCTCATTACTTCCATATGGCCTTGTCCTTGCACAATCACCTCCCTCATTCCAGTTCCCGCCTTCATAATGAGATGGCGCAAACGTCCTAAGAATTGCTACACCCTTAAAATTTTCTAAATTGTTGATGGCTTTAAGAGTAGTTTTGAATGCCCTTTGGTAGGCATAGGTAGATGGAAGTTCAGTTACATTTGGCAGTCCACAGTACCTGCAGCCAACTCGTTGATTGTTTACATAGTAGACGCTGCACCGGGCAAACCAGTGCCCGGCGTTTAAGATGATGTAGTCATATCCCTCAATTTTGGTGGTCCATTTCTCATCTGCTTCATCTAGATATAGATTGTAGAGTCCAGTATGGCATGGACCATCTGCATCTACTTCTTTCGTTGAAACCAAAAATGGTGACCAATAAATTGCTAGAGTGAAATTGTAAGTTGTGTATTTGTACTTTTTGAAAGATTGATCTGGATTGTCAGAAATATCAACAGGATATTCAACCTATAAACACAAAAATTGTTTTCATCACTTCTTTGATTTTTATTTAGAAATTAGATTCGTTAATAATAATCCTGAGATAAAATATAGAATTATTTATCCTATGTTTGATTAGAGATATTAGTTAATCCGAAAATTATGTATACACGGTTAACTTTGTCTATCCCATATTGGTACCAAGCTAGCCCAAAGCGTCGGCAGCAATAAATTGCTTAATATAAGGACCACTGTCAATGATTGTTGATTAATGGTTTAATTAGTCAAACAAATCGGGCATAATTATCGATATTTTTCACGATAGATTCTTTTTAAGCTTTATAATTTTGGGGACCCGAAGAGATTTTCTGAGAATTAAAAAGCAATATGACAAATTTGACACTGGCCCCCAATGTTCCTCCTATTGTCGTAAGTCTCTGTTGTTCTTTTCTTGTAGTAGTACTTTTCTTTATTTTAATTTTCTTTTTAGGTATGAGTAATGAAATAAAAAAAAAACTTTTTTTGGACTAGAAGGAAACCATTTCTAGCATGAAAATGACTATTTTATTAAAAAAATTCGCCGAGAAATAAGGAGGGAAGAAAAATCCAAAAGATTATTATTTTCAATAATTTGTAGTTAAATGGTCAATATATAGGAGTAATTTGATAGTGGTTGGTGACTAGATTTTGATTCCTCCAAGGCCCCCTATGCTCCCTTCCATCACTTTACTGTTGATGACCATATTCCTCATTAATCCTACATTTTTTTTATCTTAATTTATAAATCATATAGATTAGATGTTTGAGTCATAAAAACAATTATTAATGTAAGTATTTGAATAAACTATTTACATCATATTTATTAATTAGGATGCAATTATTTTCTAACTTTATTAAAGTAGAATATTTTATGGATCAAATTATTTTTTAAGAAAATTATCTTAAGAAGAATATAACACTTTTCGTTTAAAAATAATATAACTTTATTTTTAGTTTTATAATTTATAACTGCATAAATATTTTTTAACACTACTGTCTTATCCCGTTAATACCAACATTAATAATTGATATTTTTTTCTTTTGGAAATTTACAATATTTGTACTTTTTTTTTATTAAAAGAAAGTATAATAGAAAAAATAAAACTAATTTTATAAATAAATAACTAATTTGAAATAAATATTTTTAGTAAGATGTACAAGTAGGACGGAGCCACCTGGGTTCATCCGAACCCCCTTCGACAATAAATTATATTATATTATTTATACAAATAATTTTTTATGTATATATAGTAGATGTCGAACCCTACGGTATAATGCAGTAATTCACCTTAAATCAGCAGTATTGCCTATGGAAATCAACAAAAAATTCAGAGAAAGAGAATGATACCCGGGACAAGAGGCATATCAGAGACTGCATTTGGTTTCTTCCAACTGAATCACCCACAATTGCCACCGACGTGTTTCTGACCAAATTCAGAAACTGAAACGGGTTGAAAATGGGCAGCTCACACCCATTAGGTCTCCACCTCCACTTCAAATAATCACTATCGGGTCTTTCATGCTTCATACAGTTTTGGTGGTCATGGATTTCAGTACAGGTCACATTCGTATAATATGGAGCATCCGGATTCCAAATCCATTTTCCACTGAAAACATCACACTTTTCTGCTTCTTTAATCGCTATCTTCTGCTCCTCGAAAGGAAAGTATGTGGGTGAAATTTCAGACATTATTAAACCTCCTGAGTACCAATTAAATGGGTGATAAAGAGGGATAAGACCTAGAACGACAACTGCTAAAACTAAAAGTATAAATATACTTGGGGTTCTTTGAGCTGAAGTGGAGTATTTCCCAAAGGGAAGCTCCATTTCTGAGTGTTAATTTTCTTCTATGGAAAGTTGAAAAAGAAAGTAGTAGTAGTAGAGATGGCAGAAATTACGGAGAAAAGTAAGTTGTTAAAGATGCATAGTGCATGAAATTAAGGGGTACCACTTTCTACGTGTATGTTGACACTTGTGATAATCCTAGTTTCTTCTTGTCATTTGGACCCTCTACAAAATAATTGAACATATTAATCCAAAAAAATTGAATAGTAAAATGTTCTCACTGCCTAAAACTATTCATTTGTTATAAATGAGTTTGAGCTTTGTGTCACGAAGTTTCTGTGGATTTGTGATACCTAGGCAGCGAATGGGTTGAAAGAGAAAAGGTGGTGGTACTATAACATATTAACAAGGTATGAGGCTTGTCAGTGAGTTGGGTGGCTCATTTATACAACGCTAGTGATTTGAAAAATTTATTACGCATAACGTGCAGTTGCAGATTAGTTATCTTCACCTCACATTCCAACCTTTATTTTTTATTTTTTATCCTTCACTTATTCTTTCTTCCATGTAGCCTACTTAGTATCGAAAAATTGAATCGAATTGAACTAATTTGATATTTCGTTCTTCAATATTTTGGTTTGTATTTGGTACAATTTTCCCTTAATATTAAGATTCGGTAGTACCAACATACAGAAGTTTAACTGTTAAAAGATCAAAATAAAAAATTAGTGCCCAATCCCTGAATTAGTGTCCAATATTTAACTGCTATGATGCTGTCTCTCAAATTTTCAATTCTGTTGCTGTTAGTTACCGGCAGCTGCTGCTTACTGATTAGTGCTTGCTGTTTATGTATGTATGTATTATGTTATTTCATTTAATTAAATATTGAAAAAGCGTGCGTTAAAAGAACAAGCCGTTGGTACAGATTAAGAAGGACATGGTGGAAAGACTAGATCTTTTAAAGATGGGGAGGAAAGGTCGTAGTTGTCCACCCGTACTTGCACCATTATTAAAAATAGAAAAAAATTGAAGCTGGTTTGGTTTGTCCATTCATCATAAATACACATATGTCCTCAAAAACGAAAATCATGAATATGAAATCAAAGTTTTCAATACCATACCGTACCATGCTGCTTCCACCATACAAAAAACATCTTCAGTCTGTAACGTAACCATATCTTGTAGTGTCGTTGATATGAGTCCTGTCTTGCCAGAAATATTCCATTCCTGGCTTTGGTAAACTTGAACCATATGTACCCTTTGGTCTATGGGGAGAAAATCCTCAACTCTCTAAAAATTCAACAAGGCTTGTTTTGCCCCAACTTTTCTAACAGTACTATAGTTACATTTGCAACTCAACCATAATGATCCATGTAATCGAGTTCCTCTGTAATTCACAACCATTCTAAAAATAAATGAAGCAACTAAAAAAATCAGAGTACATTGTATGATTTGGCTCTCATTCAAGCTTTTCCTCTAGGGATTTGGTGCTCTCCATCTTGAACATATGAAACAAAATATCAGCCCAAGAATCAATAGGACCAGGCAAGCACCAATGAACACAGTCATTATACAATACAACATTGGCATTTGGCCAATGCCCATATTTACTTGGGTGACCATCTGGTCTCAACAACATGGCTTGTGTTGTGTCCATCAATCTGAATTTCTTCCCCTTCATCTTCCCTTCTTCCTCCGCAGCCTTAAACTCTTCAAGTTGGATCCTGTATTGCTCCAAGCTTTGACCCTCCAAAGCAGTCTCATTACTTCTATATGGCCTTGTCCTTGCACAACTACCTCCCTTATTCCATTCCCCACCTTCAAAATGAGAAGGTGCAAAAGTTCTAAGAATAGCCACCCCCTTAAAATTTTCTAAGTCGTTGATCGCTTTAAGAGCAGTTCTGAATGCCTTTTGGTAGGCATAGGTAATAGGGAGTTCAGAAACATTTGGTATTCCACAGTACCGGCAGCCAACTCGTTGGTTGTTCTCAAAGTAGACACTGATCCGGGCAAACCAGTGGCCGGCATTTAAGATGACGTAGTCGTATCTTTCAATTTCAGTGGTCCATTTCTCATCTGCTTCGTCAAGGTGAAGGTTGTAGACTCCAGTATGGCTTGGACCATCTGCATCTGCTTCTTTTGTTGACACCAAAAATGGCGACCAATATGTTGCTAATGTAAAGTTGTAAGTTGTGTATTTGTATTTTTTGAAAGCTTCATCTGGATTATCAGATATATCTACAGGATATTCCACCTGAAGAAAAACAGAAAAGAAGATCAAAATTCGTATTACTTCTTTGATCATTCTCACTTCAATTTGTTTTAGGATTAGTTTAACACTAATTCAGGCACATGCAGTGGCAAGTGCAATGTTTAGCAAGAATCCAGGCTGTTTCCCCAAGTGATTCTCGGGCTTAATATAAAATGATGTATTAATTGACTAATACAAGAACCATTGTCATGTTTGTTAATGATTTATTAGTCAAATAGATCTCCAGGAGGACACAATTAACTTTCTACAATTACGAACCCAAGTTACCAGGCTTGGTTCTCTAACAATTTGGCACAATTACATTATTCTAAGCTATACTTTAATTGAAAAATCTCTTTGGATCTAGCTAAATACTCTCTTTGCCGGGAAGTCCCCAGTGGGGTAAAATGCTTCCCAACAAAGGCAACTCCATACCAAGAGGGACTCGAACCCTTGAACCCGAGACCTCTAATAAAGGATTAAAAAATATTTACCACTCCACCACAACCCTTGTTGAACTAGCTAAATAGTCTTGTTATAATATTGGGAACAAAAGAGACTTTCTGAGGATTAAAATGCAATATGACAAATTTCCCACTGGCCCCCAATGTTCCCCTATTAGGGTAAGTCTCTCCTTTTCTTTTCTTGTAGTACTATTTAATCTTTTGAGGGATGATCAATATTCCCAGTTTCAATTTTTGATTGTCATTCTTTCTTATTTTTCCCCTCTTGACAACTCTTTAGTTTTAACTTTCCACTTATCATGTTTAAAATTACAAGATTAAAAAAAGATTTTAGTAAATCTTAAATATCTTTAATTTTAAAACTACAAGATTCAAAAGTCTTTTACTTTCTTATACACTCCGTGTATGTCAAACCCTACAACAAATTAAACCAGAGGGCATAGTACCAAAATGAGAATTAACTTTTTTGGACTAGAGAGAGTAAATCACTTCCAAAATGAGAATGACTATATTATTAGAAATTTCATTTTCACCCCAAATAAAAGGAAGGAAAGATTATATATTAAGCTTTAATAGTTTCAATAATTTGTAGTTAATATTTATGACTAGACTGGCATCTACTTTGAACAATTAGATGAGATTAAACGACGAGCTAAAAACTTTACATTTCAAGTCCTTCGTTTTACTGTTCATGATCAAACCTTTCCCATTATTCCTCCACATTTTACTACCTTTCACAGCTTCATGCCGGAAAACAGTACTCGTTGACCTATCAATGGCATCTTTGTGAAATTTGAACTAAATAATGAAAATTTCTAGTCTCAGGTAGACCAAATCTTCAATTAACCCTAATTTATGCAGCTAATCCAAGCTAGAGTTTATCGAAACTATAGCATAATATGGTAGAAACAGTAATTAACCATAGATCAGCAAGTACAGAGTTAAAATTGAAGTAAAATTAACACTAATTGCAGAGAAGAAAAAGGGTACCCGAGCCAATAGGCATATCAACGACTGCATTTGATTTCTTCCAACTGAATCACCGACAAGTGCCAACGATTTGTTCCTAACCAAATCTAAAAACAGAAACGGGTCGAAAATGGGTAGTTCACACCCATTAGGCTTCCATCTCCACTTCAAATAATCACTATCGGGTCTTCCATACTTCATACAATTTTGGTGTTCATGGATCGCATAACAGGTCATATTCGTGTAATATGGAGCATCCGGATTCCAGACCCATTCGCCGGTGAAGATATCGCATGTCTCCGGCTCTTTAATCTTTATCTTTTGTTCCTCAGCTGCATGGTAATTGGGTGAAATTTCAGAGGGATGTTGGGTTGCTAAATCTGCTGGGTACAAATTAAATGGGTGATAAAGAGGGATAATACCCAAAACGACAACTGCTAAAACTAAAAGTAAGAATATTCTTGGGGTTCTTTGGGTTGAAGTGGAGTATTTCCCAAAGGGAAGCTCCATTTTTTTGTGGGAATTTCTTCAATGAAGAGTTGAAAAAGGAAAGTAGAGATGGGAGAAAGAAGAAAGGAAGAAAAAAACAAAATAAAGTAGGCTGTTAAAAATACATAGTGGATGTAATGAACAGAGGGCCAGTTTGCACATGTATGTTGACTCTATGAACGTGCTAATCACATATTTTAAGCTTCTTTGTACTAAGTATTAATTCCTCATCAATTAGCAGATATAATTTGGATATTAATCACTACAGATCCATCATTTAAGACCTACTACAATCTAATTATAGCACACAGACACAACTAGACTTTACTTCTACTAGGGAGGTAGTAACTTTTTTTTAAGTAGTAATTTGAGTAAATATTCCCTCGTTATGTAATTATTTGTATTAGTAAATTATGACATCATGTTATGGAACACCAAAAATGTAATTAGAGGTTTTGAATTTGAGCTTTTGATATGAATTTTTTTCTGGTTAAAAGCACAAATACAAATTAATCAAATTTTAATACGAATATGAGACATTAAATAAAATAATAATTCAAAAATCATGTTATGAAACTTTTGTTGAGCAGTTTGCAAAGTTTGGGTAACATACTTTCTGATTAGTTTGACATTCTTAAAAATGACTTTTAAGTTTTAGCTGTGTCCCGAAGCTTCTTGCGTATATGCGAAACGTAGGGAAGAATGAAAGTAAAAAAATATTTTTTGGTGGTACAATGTGCAATGATGTTGGTACTAGTGTCGGTGGCCTCATATGTATCAATCCCTAGTGTTGTAAATAATTTATTTGGCAAAACGTGTGGTGGACTGGTGGCTCATTAGTTGTCTCCACTATACAGAGGTAACTAAGGAACACGTTTTCAATTTTTTATTTATGGACTGATCTAATAGTATGTAAAATTTTCAGGAACAAAATTACTTAAGGATTAACAAATATTGTATCAATTTATCTATCTGATTTTTACTTGACATTAAAATTAAAAGAGTAAAGAATTTTTTTTAATTTTATAATGTTAAACTAAAGATATATAAAAAATATATATACTAAAATAGCTTTTAAACTTGTGATCTTGAACATATCATACAAACAATTGTAATTAGAAAGTTGAGCAAAAAAATAAAAGGAAATTTACACGAATCGTATAATGTTAAGAGCTAATTATATTATATCTTTATTATTTCTCAAATTA